AGCGATTCTGTGATTCTGTGATCACTCTTGGCACTGGCTTCATCATGGTCACCCCCCAGGTGGTGCCTCCTTTAGTGACAAGAAAACATTGACATTTAAAGAAGTACATAAGCTGGTGGGGACAGAGTCTGTTATAACTATCAGCTTATGCTTTCTCTAACTCTCTGCTTTCCCAGCACCAATTTGTGCCTCTATTGACTCACGTTTATTCTTCCAAGTCTGAAGCTCTAGTGGAAGGGGAGGGGATGAGCTCCTACCAGGAGTCATTTCTCACCAAGCAAAGAATTCCTGCACTCTCCTTTAGTGAAAATGAGAACTTCAAGTTACGTATTGAAACCCGCGTATTTCCATAATAGCTTTCAAAGCCAGCTCAGACAAAAATCTTCCCTCAAAGCAGCTGTATCTCGAGTTGGTTCATCACTTTTACCCATTATTTTGAGTAACCCAGACATACAGAAATCCAATATTTTAGAGAGTTCTCAGACTTGGACAAGTTCTCACATTTAAACCCAATTGCATAGAGGATTTTGGTGACTGTCCCAGCATCGTGTCCTGTCACAGGGCAGAGCTTTGCCCTCACCCATGGCCTGTCCTCCCCTCCCGAGCAGCGTTGAAAGCAGACGCTGGAGCTTTCCACGTGGTGCCCTACCAAATACTCTGTCCTGTAAAGGAACCTCTGTTAAAGTCAGAAAACACCACTCTTGAGAGCACAGCAGTGGCATTCGGTGGATGCTGTCACTTCCATGAGGAACTTCCTGGGTCTGAGTCCATGTTTGAGATGTTACAGCTCTGCCTGTGAACCACCTGTGTTACGTGGTTGGGTTTTCAAGCAGGGAAAGGTGTCCTCAATGGGGACCAGGGACACCACAGCCTGATCCTGGCTCTGCATCAACACCCTTTGCAGAGACAGCGACGCTGATGGAGGAACCAGGATGAGAAACCCCATGAGCCATCGCTCCCAGCGACTGGGATGCACGGGGGAGTCTGTGGACGTCAAGTCATGGGATGAAGGCACTGGGAAGCGACTTCTGTTGCTGGGAATGCACAAGATTAACGAGGATTTCATTTTCTGAGTGGAAGAAAACAGCACTGTCCGTAACCTACAGCACTGTCCGTAGCCCACAGCCCTTGGGCAGGGACTGTGCCAGGTCCACCAGTCCTGGAAGAAGCCGTTACTGGAAATGGGGGTGAAGCAGCTGTGTTTTAGAGGCACAGGGAGCATCCCTCCTTTCTGACCCCATGCAGGAGCGTTCGCTGTGGTCACACCATGGGTGTCTTCTCTTGCGAAGGAGAACATATGATTTTGAAGTGGCCGTCGTCAGGGCTGGGTACGGCCCCAGCGCTTCCCGTGCTGCACACCCCGGTGTGGCAGAGCGCGGCTCTTTCCCCGATGTGGTAGGAGGTCCCGTGGCACGATTTGGTCTCTTGTATAGCAGAGCCGTGTCCAGGGAAGCAGAAGCCGCAGGTTTCCACCGGCTCTGGGACCTTGCTGCCCGTGGATCCGTCACCAACGCTGCCCACTTCCACCAGACGATCTGCAAATAAACCGTGAATTAGCAGGAGGGTTTTGAGGAGCACCTTTTACCCAAGAAATGCTTTGCAGTAGAGCCTATGAAGAGCTGGTCCTGGAACCGGAGAGGACATCCTCCTCCCACCACGGTAATGAAGCCCACGGCACCCTGGGTTGTACTTCATGCATCGCCTGCGTGCTCGCGCCTCGTCCTGCCACCATGGGAGCTGAGAGCTGAGGGGGAAACTGGAAAGGGCCTCCAACAGGAAGGCTGGAAGTTTAGCACACAAATCTGATATTTATAACATTATTTATAACGTTGTATTATTAGAACATTAATTATCTTGTCCTTAAATGCTGCTTTCGTAGCCAATGTGACAGTGCAGTGCTCTGTGAGGTGGCAGAGCTCCAGTGAGAGCAGTGTCTGGGGTGGCTGCCCATGGTTCAGGGCACAGTGGGCTGGGGCTGGATGTGAGCTGTCGAGGGGCTCTGCTCCCTCATCTGAGCTCTGATGAGCAAGGGTAGGGTAGGGGTATTAAAAAGCACACAGTAAATAGCTTTGAACCTGGTGGGCTCCCTTAGAAGTAAGTGTTTGATGTCACCTTGTCCTTCAACCGAGGCAGATAGGAAAGGCTTGAACTGCAAAGAGCGGCTCCAGGCCACACACCAGCTCGTCGGCTTTTTCTCTGTGACTTTTGACATCCGACATAACTGGCTTTGAAGCATACATATGTAAAAACGTGTCTTTAAACAGACCTTTTTATTTCTAAAGGCAGGAGAAAGGACGGAGGATTAAACCATCTTTTCTATGTTGGCTTACTCCACATTATCCTTTCCCTATCTTTTTCTCCTTAATGCCAAGACTTGTGAAGCCCCTCTGGCTCCAGAGCTGAAACTTTGGTGTTTGATGCTGCAAAACAATTCAGCAAGCGGGCTGGATCGTTGGCCTGTTTGAAGGCACAAGTAGCCCATGGTACCATGGTTCCTCCAGGCATCGATTCACAGAATCCCAGAATGTGAGGAGTGGGAAGCACCCTCGAAAGCTCCCCCAGTGCAACCCCTGCCAGAGCAGGATCACCAGAGCAGTCACACAGGAACACGGCCAGGGCTTTGGGTGTCTGCACACAAGGAGACTCCACAACCTCTCTGGGCAGCCTGGGCCATGCTCCAGAACCCTCACACTGACAAAGTTTGGCCTCATCTTCAGCTTGAACCTCCTGTGCTCCAGCTTGGGACCATTGCCCCTTGTCCTGGCATTGGCCATCCCAGAGCAGAGCCTGGCTCCTTCCTCCTGACACTGCCCTTTCCAAATTTAGGGCGAGTGGAATTCACCCCAAACCAGCCCTGAGCGAAGGAACCCAGAGCTGCGATTGCCACAAAAGCCCTGGGTCCTCCTTGGGCAGGAGATTCATTTTGAGAGAGTATTGACTTTTCACAGCTTGGCCTCAGGATGGAGACTGGAGCTGGTTGAGGGCGCAGCTCCAGCCCCAGTGTGGCCGGGGAAGCTGTGCCTGTGACTCTACAAGAAGGGGACAGTGCTGGGGAATTGGGGCGCAGGGTCCAGTCCTGCTCCTCCTCCAGGCTCAGACTGAACCTCACTGCACATCGCTGGCTTTGCTTTTCCTCCCTGCCCCTCTTAGGACCTGGCTCTGCTTTCTGTCCCTCCCAGTTGTACCAGGCACCCCGTCCATCACCTCCCCATCCTCTCCCAGTCCCCCCAGCACTCACCTTTGGCTGAATCCTCCCTGCAGTGGCAGGTCCCGGCACTGGCTTGGCAGGAGACCACCTCTCCCTTCCTGCGCAGGTGGGTCCAGCCCAGGAGCAGGGAGCAGAGGAGGGCGCAGAGGCAGAGCCCCAGCAGCAGGTACACCACCAGCCAGGCACGCCTTCTGCGCCAGCACGGCCGCGGGCGGCGAGGCCGTCACCAGGGCTGGCGGATGGGGGATGGCTACCAGGGCACCCGCTGTGGGGCAGGGAGAGAAACCCCTCGGGTGCGTTAGAAACCCCTTGGGTGTATTAGAAACCCCTCTGCTATATTAGAAAGCCTTTCATGTTATTGACTTCTCGATAGGGAAAGGGTGTTGCTAATGGTACTTGTGCACTCTGAAAGCACACTCGTGCTTAGGAAGAATTTGAAAGTGCTGGTAGCCCCCACAGCAAGGTAAAAGAGAGCGTTTTCCACCCCCCGTTCCCACCCTTCTCCCACTGATCATGGCTCAACCCCAGTTTTGGAATTGCAGGTTTTGGGAGAAATAACTCGTCCCCTCCCTGAGGGTGGAGACAGCTCAAGGAGGTTGGAAATCAAACTGTGGATCCCACTGCTGGATAGGTTTGTAAAACCCCGACACACAGCAGGGACCCCACGCTGTGCAATGGAGAAAAGGGGATGGAGAACAATGCCCTGGTTTGCTTTTCCCCAGTCCCAGTGAAATGGGAACCTCCCGGGATGGAGAGAGGGGGTTTTGCTGCCCCTTCCCTAACTTCAGTGCCATAACCCAGCTCCTCTTCCAGCCCAGCCCCGGGGGGTCCTGCCCCATCCCCGCTCTGCCCGCCCTCACCTTCGCAGGACGGGGCGCATTGCTTGGGGTGCTGCCCGCAGACCGTGGTGCAGTTGATGCAGTTTTTGACGAGCTCGTCGTAGTAGAAGCCGGCTTTCGCGTTGCAGTCCATGGACTCTGCGGGAGGGGAGGGAGACGAACACGGAGTCCTGAGCACACCCGTCTAGGTACGAGACTCCCAAATAGCCGCCCTCCCACCACGGCCTGGTTCGTGCAAGGATGAGCCTGCTCTGAATGAGCTCACGGCTCCGACGGGCGCAGGGCGAGGCCTGGGTGCTGCCGTAAGCGTTGACAGCGTCTCCAGGGCTGGCGGGGTGACAGATCCCCGGGGTTTGCAGGGAAATACCAGGGAACGGTGCCCGCTGGCAGCTGCGTGGGGAGGGGGCACAGCCAGGGGGGCACAGCCAAACCCTCCTGCTGCAGCAAACTCCTGGTGCTGCTCTTAGCGCTGCCGCTGCCCTGGGGCATCCACAGCTTTTTAGGACACCCCAAAACCTGCCTGAGCACTGGCTCAGAACCCCGGGGATGGCATCTCCTGTCCTCAGCGGGGAGACGTGGCTTGTCCCGGGGCTGGGTCCCCTGGGTTCGCCGGGGAGGGAAGGGGCCGTGCACAGGGTTTGGGTGCAAAGTGCACCCGTGTCTCTTCTCCCTCACCTCCTAGCGCTGCACCTGGGTGCCTGCCCCAGCGCAGCTCGAGTTTATCATTATCTACAGCAGCTCAACCTGGTGGAGCTCAAGGCCTTTGGAGAGTGGGGTGGCACTGGTGGGAGATGCAAGTGCTGACACAGCCCTGGGAAGGCTCCCTATGACCCCAAAAAGGAGAGAGACAGCTATGGGGACAACGTGATCCTGCTCCATGCCGAGCTGCTGCCAGACCCAGCCCATCACTGGGGAGCTGTGATGTTCCCCAGGCTGTGCTGGCTCCCAGGTTCACCCCAGGGCCTGATTTTCCCTCCCAGCTCTGCCCCATCGCTGCCCACGGGGCCCGAGGACAACCCGGCACTCACCGCACAGCGCGGAGCAGCGCTTCACCGTGGACCGGCCGCATACGAGGCTGCAGGGGATGCACTGGCAAACGAGGGCGTCCCAGTACTGCTGCTCGGTGCAGTTGTGGATGGCATTGCACCCGCCGCGCGTCCCATCCATGGCTGCGGAAACAGGAGGTGAGTGGGTACGGGGTGGCCACCACGGGGCTGCCCTGCGGCCACCTTGGCTCAGGCTGGGACCCCTGGCAGGAGGACACCTGGATGAGCCCCAGCCCTCAGCAAAATCTGCTTCAAAATCTTCTAATTACAACAAATCATCTAACTCCAGCCTGATGGGAGTGTGTCCCATGCTGCTCCCTAGGGACATGTGGGGAGACCGCCCTGCCTTATTGGTGGCCCTGAAGTGAGGTCTAGGGATGCTCACAACCACCTGCAGGAGTGAAAGCAGTGAGAACCACTCCTGTCTTTGTATGCCTTTCTGAACATGACAGAAATAGGACCAGAATGACCCCTGGAGCCGTCTTCTGAAACTATTTTTAATTCTGGAAACTTCTGAATTCCTCTGTGGCGTTGGGGCAGTTCGTGCCATCTCATGTGTGATTTCTGACGTCTCCCTTTGGTGTTCTGGCATCATAACGAAACCTGGTTTTGAGGTGTAAAACTCCCCTAAGCAGCAGCAAGAGGGAAGTCTCCCTGGGGGGTTTTAAGCGTTGGTTTAACCTGCACCAACTGGGACGCCTGGGGGTGGCTGTGCCCTTGACCCCACCAGGATTCGTTTGTCCCATCCTCCCCTTGCTGTGCCACACACGGGGTCTCCGGTGAGCGCGGCCGAGCAGCTGCAGGAAGCGCTAACCCAGCACCAGGGTGGAAATGTGCTGTCTGGTGACCAAGAGGGCCACCACATCCCGCTGTGGAGCCGCACCGGAGCCGCAGCTGTTTCCTGCCAGAGCTGACGGGACCCGAAAGGTTTAAAACTCCCCGACACCACAGCACAGCGCTAGTCTGCCCCTTCCCTCGGCCAGACCCGCTGCCCCGCAGCCGCCTCAAAGCCAGACTCTGGTTTCCATACCCTCTCATTCTCACAGAGATATCCACCCTGCACAGGGATGCTGGCCTCGCAGTCCCAGTCGCTCAATTAACACTGCTATAAAATGAAGTAATTACTTTCTGTCGAGCTGACTGAAGATGTTCCCCAGGGCAGAGCAAGGCTCAGGCTGGCGCCCTCCTCAGATGCTCTTTGAAGATATTTGGTACCCAAGGAGAAGAAGAAGACCCCCTG